AGTTTCAAGTGTTTACTCTTTAATGAAGCCTTTCCAATCTCTCCTATCCTTTCTTTTCCTGTGATGTCAGTATTTTCCATTCACATTTATTACAATACACATTGTTCTTTACGCAATGGCCCATTTATCAATTCCTTCAACAAATATATTTTGAGAGCATACTCTACCTGACACAGTGCGTGATACAGGTTATCAGCAGTAAGCAAGCCTGGGCCTGGCCTCCTAGAGACCAGTGGGAAAGAGAGACTTTAAGTAAATAACCACACAAATACACCATAAAATCCCAGATGATAATTGCTATGGAGAAAGATATCAGGTGCTGGTGATGTGTCTGTCTCTAGGCATCACATGAGTGCCAGTAAAGTCACAACCTCAACATTTATATTTCCCCACCACTAACTTATTGCCTGTATTGATATGCAGTTGAATTAATACATTATAGGAACTGTTTAGGTTAGAAATTAGATTTCTAATTGAGAAAAATGAAATTAACCTTGCAGAAATGGAATGGTAAACATTCTGGTCTCATGACAAGAGTTGAAGGAACAAGAAGACAAATATTATGGACGAAAAAGACGAGATTTGACCAAAGGCAAGATTGTCTCAATGTAAATCTCTCAATTCAGGAATGTACTAGTTATATTTGATATAGTATAAGTTTGACAGAGTTCAGAACATAACGAAAATCTCTATTTATTCAAACTTTTGCCAGAAGGGAGATGCTGAGTGACAGCCTGGGAGCATAAACTGGGACATAAGAGTTCTTGTTACTGCTTATTGATATGTTCTATTTATACCTTTTCCATCCGCTGAGTGCGAAAAATTTAACAAGTGGTACTTACCAAAAACCAAAAAAACCCCCAAAACCTATTCAAATGAAATCCCCATATATGATATTTCAGCTCTCAAATTTCATGTGAGATACAAACATATTTCTTGCTATAAAATAGCTGTGCTGGTTTCAAGGGATTTTAACCTTCTATGCTAAATGCTTCTGAATTGGCAGCCGAAACCATCATAGATGCTCAAAGAGTGACATTTTTGATCAAGATACTGTAACTCAATGACTCAGAAAGAATAATATTGAAATATATGTTACAAAGGTTTTGTCAGTACACAAAACCTGCTGTAGGCTGTAAACAACATTATAAAGAGATTTTAAATTGCTCAGGCATGTCATACATTAGTAGCAACCCTTTCTCTCTTCCCCCCCCTCCCCGTTTGTCATATTATGACTCAATTTACTGCATTTGAGTGCTTTGAATTCACTACTCTTAAAGTTATGATGAACAACATCAATTTGGAAGTGGGTTCTGTTATTGGGGAAGTGCAATTTTTAAAAATACAGCAAACCTAAAAAATATTCATTGGTTCACTGCAAAGAATGAAGATCTTAGTCTCAGCTTAGGGCGCTACTGTAACCATGAGTGTCACAGTTGGTTTGCTGGAGTAGCCATGGCCCTCCCTCCTCATGGACATGCAAATCAGGGAGTTAATGTTAGGGTGAGAGCCTGGAGTTCAATGGTTCAATGACAAATGCTGGTTAAGTATTACACTAAATAGTCAAATCATTGCTTCAGGAATTGTTTGAATTACTCCTAGAACTTTTAACAACATAAAACAGAGGGATTATTTATATTTTTGGTTATAGGTCTTCTATGTAAGAAGAGTAACCACCATTCTCAGCCTCCAGTTCTGTGGTAGCTTCATTTTTCTTGAAAGTTGCTTAATAGTTTATATTGAGATTTTCATCCCTCACCCATTGCTGTGGATTTTAACTGCTTCATAATCAGTAACATTTATTTTGTATTGAATTCCCCCTCTCCCTAAGTTTCCTTCTCCTCTGCTCATCAAAATAAAAAACCGAGTTTATTAGATTTAAGATATCGATCCATTTGCCCCCTGCTTCTCTTCTTACCTACAACCCCACTGATAGATACTGGAGGAAGCCTGATATTGGGAAATGTTATCAGAGTGCCTGGCCTTGGTTCACTCAGAATTACACAAATATAGGACCCTGTACTTTTCATATTTTCTGTATTTCACTCTCAATACATGTGTGCTGGGATAAATTATGCTCATCACAACATAACTTGGTGATTTTGGATGAAATGAAACGGGTAATACTTTACTATTATATATAATTGCACTTTAAATCATATCTCCTCTTACCCACTTCAAAAGAGCAATATATTTTTAAACTGTTTCCACTTTGATTCAGTTAATGTACACATATTTTAATTAACACAAATTCTAAAATAGTATAGTCTGAGTTTATATATATTTATATATAAACATATAAATTATATAAATATATAAAGTATACAAATGTATATTTCATAAAATGTATAATATATAATTCTAAATGTAATTTAGAAAAAAAATAGCCTATGTTATGGACTAATAAGGCCTTCTAAAACAAGTAATTTCTGATAGCATCAATAATATAGAATTGAAATAAAAATAACCTAAGAATATAAAGTCAAATAAAAGTATCCTATTGTTAAATCAGCATTCAAAATCACTGTGAGAGTATTATTTAGGTTATAAAATTTCATAACCTCAAAAATGCACTTTTTAGAGAAGAAAAAAAAGTTTCATTTCTTACAGTTATGCCTTAAAGAGACAAGCCTGCACAAAAATAGGAAATACAAAAATTAACGATGAGAGTCAAGCAGTTTCAGGGGCCAGTCAGTCATTCCGCGGCTTTCGCTCACCTAATCCAATTCATCAGCGCAACAGTGGAGGAAACTACGTGCTAAGCCATGGTCCCCTCAAAGCTACAGAATGAATGCAGCAGCAACCAGGCCTTCCGAGACACGGAACGTGGTGAAAACTCACCGTGAATGCAGATGACTTCACACAGCCTTTGAGACCACGTCATCCTGCCATTCTGCTGCAATGACAGGATGAAAACTACTCCCGCAGGCCTCATCACGTTTCCACTTCACTCGCTCCGAGGTTTCCCCGTTCTGCTGCATATTAGGGTCACCTAGTGAGGCTCAAAAATTTTCCAGACAACTGTTCTGGGGTGGGCCTGGGGCCCCGCTATATCTAAAAGCTCTCCAGGTGATTCTAACGTGCAGTCAAGGCTGTGAACCAATGATCTGCTCCCATAGCTGCTGCCTTAGATTTCCCTGCCTCCTGTGACATCCTCTATTAATGCTGCCAGAATGGTCTTTCTGTAATGCCTACAGAATTAAATTCAAACTTCTGAGCACGGGATCTGCTCTTAAATACCTGACCAGCTGCCTCACCCTACTCTCTGTCCACAAGCTGCACCAAGCACTTGTTTCCTACATGCCTGCCTCAGCCTCTGGGCCAGAGCACTGACTCATCTCTTGCTCTGAAATGCTCTCCAGTTTATCTGTTTATCTGTCTGGAGAATGTATCTTCTCTATGAAGCCTCTCCTGACATTCTAACCCCCACTCCACAGTGTTTTCAAAGCACAAGTGTATTGGGTTTCATGTTTTGTTTGTCTGTTTTTTGTTTGTTTTGTTCTTATGACTAATCATATTTTAGAGCACATGTCTCTCTCAGACATTTTTTGGAACAAGGACTATGTCTCATTTGCTTCTGTATTCCCCAAACTTAGCATACTGCCTAGCATATACTGACATTTGGTATTTGCCAAATAAATGAATGAATAGCATTTCATATTACTTTCACTTTTTACAGACAGAGCCAGGCGGGATTCATAATGGGTCTGCTGAACAGGTCAAGCTTATACTAAATTTAAAAAGAGTCTTAGTATTTATTTAATATTTAGTAATAGTAGTGACAATTACTTTAAAGATTAGCCTTTCAGTTATGCTACTAGATGATTGTGAAACATGGTTAAAGTCAAAGAAAATCCTTAATTAAATCCTCAAGAGTGCTCTCCCATCATCAGCTTCCCCAAACCGTACATTTTCAGAATCAGAGCCAATATATACTCACCTTAGAGTCTGGTAAGGGAGGGAAGCCCACTTAATGCCCACCACCAGTTGGCCTAATTTGGCTGCTCCCATCATGTGACATCTAACCCACAGCTCTGGTGAACATGCTTACTTTGTATTTGCTTTCTGATCTGGAAGGGGTGGGAACATGTCCTTTTTTCTTGAAGGTTGTAAAGTGCTTGCATTGAGGACATGGCTTGGTGCTGGAATCAATACGGCCAAGTTCTAAGAAGTATTTATATTTGATGGAGTCTTCATGCGTTAGGTTATAGATAACCGTTGTTTCCTCCAGGAATTCAAAACATTCTGTGATAGGGCATTTGATTTCTACTTGGCCAAGCTGTACCTGTGTGAAAGAGCAGAGGAGAGAAAAAATAAACAGCATTAGTATTACATCTCTCTTCTTGTTTCTATACAGTACTCTTTAATAATTACAGTAAAGAATTACTTGTTATTTTTCATGATTCCTAACATAGTAAATGGTGTAATCACTTTGGTACCTATATTGCGAAGTACCAAAATAATTAATCAGTATATAATGTTTCCAAAATGATTTATAGCATGTTTAAGCATTCTCTATCATTATAGTATTTGTGCATTTCAATGGATCTAAACCACAGGCTCACCAAAGATGCAAATTATCATCCCAATCTCTGGAAATCCTAGGGTGAGACAGCACTCAGACAATGCACCACTAAAGGAACAGCTGGGATGACAAGGTGTTTCAGATTTCTCAACCTNTAAATTTAAAAAGAGTCTTAGTATTTATTTAATATTTAGTAATAGTAGTGACAATTACTTTAAAGATTAGCCTTTCAGTTATGCTACTAGATGATTGTGAAACATGGTTAAAGTCAAAGAAAATCCTTAATTAAATCCTCAAGAGTGCTCTCCCATCATCAGCTTCCCCAAACCGTACATTTTCAGAATCAGAGCCAATATATACTCACCTTAGAGTCTGGTAAGGGAGGGAAGCCCACTTAATGCCCACCACCAGTTGGCCTAATTTGGCTGCTCCCATCATGTGACATCTAACCCACAGCTCTGGTGAACATGCTTACTTTGTATTTGCTTTCTGATCTGGAAGGGGTGGGAACATGTCCTTTTTTCTTGAAGGTTGTAAAGTGCTTGCATTGAGGACATGGCTTGGTGCTGGAATCAATACGGCCAAGTTCTAAGAAGTATTTATATTTGATGGAGTCTTCATGCGTTAGGTTATAGATAACCGTTGTTTCCTCCAGGAATTCAAAACATTCTGTGATAGGGCATTTGATTTCTACTTGGCCAAGCTGTACCTGTGTGAAAGAGCAGAGGAGAGAAAAAATAAACAGCATTAGTATTACATCTCTCTTCTTGTTTCTATACAGTACTCTTTAATAATTACAGTAAAGAATTACTTGTTATTTTTCATGATTCCTAACATAGTAAATGGTGTAATCACTTTGGTACCTATATTGCGAAGTACCAAAATAATTAATCAGTATATAATGTTTCCAAAATGATTTATAGCATGTTTAAGCATTCTCTATCATTATAGTATTTGTGCATTTCAATGGATCTAAACCACAGGCTCACCAAAGATGCAAATTATCATCCCAATCTCTGGAAATCCTAGGGTGAGACAGCACTCAGACAATGCACCACTAAAGGAACAGCTGGGATGACAAGGTGTTTCAGATTTCTCAACCTTACTACAGAATACTTCAGCATCAATATATTATATATATATATATATATACACACACACACACACACACATATATACATATATATATATATATATATATAAATAAATAAAATCTAGTAATTTAAAAATTATTGCCAAAAAAATAACTCTATTTTCCCTGACCCTTCCATGTAAAGAACACATAATAATAGTTCTTATCAGAACTGCAGGAACAAGTAAGAAAACTAAACCAATCACAACAGTGTACATAAGAGTCTATCTTTGGACAAACCTCCTGATCAGTACCCACCTGTTGAAAGTGTAAATTACTACATAATTTTATGCTATTATTGTACAAAATATGGTCCAGAGAAGTTTTTCAAATATTTGCCCCAAATGATTCTTTTCTACTTTTTTTGGTGAGTCTGCCTATAGTTACAATCAGATTTTACTACATTGTTACAGTTATGATAACGTTATATTCCACATTATGTTTTATCATAAACTATTTTCATTTATAACTCAAGACAGAGGCACTCTGAAGATGTTTAAATAGACAGAAACCATGTGTGATATTATAAGAAACTGGCTTAATGAGATGGACAAGATTTTTAAAAAATTAATAAATGTTTCCTCTCTTAACACTCTGTTGACATTTATCAAGCCCATTTCTGAGCCAGGTACTGGGCTAGACACTGAAACTTTGCAAGTGTCTATTAGTAAAGAGGCCAAAGTGATGAGAACGCCTGACAGGGTGTCACGGAGGATATGGGGGAGGCTTGGCAGCCTCACACTTGGGAGGCTCAGAAAAGGCTTCTTGAAGAACTGAGGTTTCAAGTGAGATCTTAAGATTAGTAGGAGTTAGTCAAACAAGATTAAAGGTGTTTCAAGCAGACAGAAGACACAAGAGCAAAGGCCTGGAGGTAAAGAGAACACAGCGCACTACAGCAGGGATATTCGTATCTTCCCCACATCCCAACTGGATCAAACATACCCTGCCCTCAGCACATGCATCCTGACTTAAGGATGGCAGCCTTAGAGGGGCTGAAAGGCGGGCAGTGAGACCGAGGCACAGAGCGTGGGTTTAGAAAGACAGGGCTGTACAGACAGATCAGAGCACAAGGGCAGGGCATGAAGCCACCTTAGAAGTCTGGGCGCTTTCCCTATGAAAACAGAAAACCGGTTTCCGCGTGTAGAGGGTGATTTCTTCTCATTCCACAGAGAAGGGGCTCACTCGGGCCATCTCAGTGACTCTCACTTACTGGGAAGGAACATACTATATGGGGTAATAGCTGGAATTTTTAATCTGGCCTCTCTCAACTATAAATGTACTTGTTCTAACCATATAAATGATAACAATGGAAGCAGCGCTTTCACAGCTACCTAGGAACAGTCAGGTCTTAGAGAAATGCAATATCATTTAGGGACCAGAACGATGCAAGGCAGCTTAAGGGAGCAGGTGACCTCGTGACTCCTTCAGCAGGGGTGTTCGTTACTACACCACATGAGGATTCCTACCAGCTAACATCCAACCAAGTACCTTTTCTTCTGCAATGTTTCTCAGATTTGCCTGCAAATCTATTCTATTTCCATGGAATACATAATTTCCTTATGCTTTCACATTTTCTGCATTTTGCCTATTCCATACCTTCTTTCTGGAAGCTCCAAATTCCCTACCCGACTACAGTGAGTCAAAGGACCTCATAGCTTATTAAACAGAATCACTATGATCATATTCCTCCAATTTTCCCCTGCTAACTGTCCCCTCTTTTCTTATTTTTTTCTTTTTCTTCCTTCCTTTTACAGTATAGGGCCTGAATCTACTTCCAGAACAACAGCGGGAGCCTCTTGAAGTATCTGTTAAGAATTCAAGCTCCCTGGCCCCCACAGTACCTAAAAAATTTTACTCATTGCTGATAAGCTAGTCATTGGTGGTTTGGAACAATTACTCATCTGATCCTTTGGATTACACATACTTCTTCATACAAACAATATCCCTCTTTTCATAATAAAATGTTACAGCCTACACTGCTTGGCCTCTACCTATCTTTTTCAGAATAATTTCCTGAAAAGATCTCAAGTCATCATGATTAAGCAAAGTACATTCATTCACTTACTCAACAAGACACATATTTCATCAATTCAAGCATGCGTTTTTGTTCAACATTTTAATAACTCAGAACAAGATTATCTTACAAATCAATAGCCTTCAGCATTGTGCCATAGTTTAATTTGCAGTGTTTTTATTTTCTTGGTGGCTCAGAATATAATATCGCATCCTACAAGTGATCATATCTTAGATTTCAATGAAATGTGGTTTTTATGGGTTAGGCAGTATGATGGACTCTGAAGATATGAAGAGAGAGACAGGGCTTCTGTTGGAGGAAATGCACGATAAACTAGTGAATAAACCAGTAGACTAATCAGTTCTGAAGGAACTACACACCAGGGAAGGATCTGAGGAGGTGACAACTTAAACTGAGAACTAAAGGGCCTGTCATGCAGAGAACTTGGGGAAGGGACTGCCAGCCAAGGAAACAAGGACAGTGGCCCCGGGGCCGAATGTGCCCAATGTGCCTGTGTTCAGAGAACAGAATGGAGGGACTGAAACACATTGGAAATGAGCCAGAACACAAAGGCTCTGTTGGCTGTGGTAAGAAGTATGACTTGTATTCTGAGTTCAGTCTGAGTCACTGACTGGTTTTATGATGAGTGAATACCCCAATTTACATTAAAGTCATTCAGCCTCTTCCCAGAGAATGAACTGTAGAAGAACCAAAGTGGAAACTGGGAAAATAGTAGGACTCTGGATTGCACCTGTTCTTCCTACCAGTGGCATCGAACTGTGGCCAGTTGTTCTGCAGGCGGCAGATGACAGAGACGGAGCTAGGAAGCCAGAAGTGGGCCGAGGCTCACTATGGGAGGGGAACCACATGGGGTTTGGTGATGAAACAGATACAGAGTATGAAGAAAGAGAAGAAACCAAGAATGACTCTAGGTTTCTGTTTGAAATAATCTGATGACTGGTGGGTGCTACTTACTGAGAAGTTTCTAATGAAATATACTTTACGGGAATATGTAATATTTGCTGGAAATGATTCACTGCAAATTTATTATAGTAACAAGAATAAAGATTTCTAATTCATCCAAAAAAACATATTGAGCTCCTATAATATCACACACAAAGGATATAAAGTAGTTTGTCATGAATCTTGCCTTTGTGGCATTTGAAGATACAGTAATTAAATTTGTGTTGACAGTCTCTTCTAGCAGCTTGGGGTTTGATGGTACAAATTCATTTAATATTATACCCAATGTTTTAAAAATTTTTTATTAAGGATAATCATAAACATATGCAAAAGTTGGCAGATTGGTATTACAAACCCGAAAGGACTCATTTTCCAGCTTCAACAATAAACTCTTGGCCACTCTTGTTTTATTCTGTGCCCTGACACAGATGGTCCTCCCATATTATTTTGAAGCAAATACCAAAAATCATGTCATTTCATTCATAAATATTGCACTATGGGTCTAAAGAAAATAGGTCTTTTAAAAACATTACCATGATACCAAATATCTCCCCAAAAGACAATAATTATTCAAAATCAATTTAAATGACAGTTTAAATAACATGCCATCTAAATTCTGTTTACAAGATTTTATGGACTTAATATACTTAAAACGATGATATTTTAAATTTCAGTTGTGTTCAATGCTAAAACTACTATTTATATCACTGGAAAATATACTCTCCAATTCTTCTGAGCAAAAACATGTCCATTCTTGTAAGACAAATTACTTAACTCTAAAACAATCTCCAAGGGTGCTAGTAAGAGGCACTCGTTTCCACTTAGTGCTCAAGCTGGATGACTAATTTGCCACCTGGGAGAACTCAAAAGTAATTTAGTGACACAGGTGAAGGAGACCTCTGGATAAGTGGTAGACTAATTAATTAAATCATCCAGAAAAAAGAACAGAAGCATAAACCTTGGGCTTTGAAGCTCAATTTATCAAATATATGGTTTATGGTTTTGGCCTTGGTTTTAAGTGTTGGTCATGACAGTTTACAAGGTGTCTTGGCCTTTTGTTCATGTGATATCAGGAAATTTCAGGTTTCCTTTTTCCTTAAAAATGGACCATGTCAATGCGGCAGAGAGAAGAGTACGCCACAACAAAAGCAGTAACAGTCATAATGAAACGGATACAGTACCCTCTACATGCTGAGCACTGTTCTAAGCACTTTCTGTGCATTAATGACTTTGTGGAGCACCACAGAGGCACATTCATTTTCAGGTTCATGGATTTTCCTGTAAGTTTATCATCAGTGATTATAGGAGGTGCCTGCTTTATTGATAAATATGATTTTTGTTTACTTAGCAGCTATTACAGAGCAATATGTTAGATGCCTTTAATAATTGAAAATACTAATGGAAAACATCAACCCAAATATCCAAGAAGTTCTCTCAATCTGAGGCAACATACATATAAAGAAAATCACACTTAGGCATATAAAGTAAAAGTGTCAAGCACCAAACAAAAGGAAATTACCTTAAAAGCAACAGAGGAAAAAGACATTCCCACATAGAAAACTTTGGCCCCAGGTGCCAAAGTTTTGTGGGTAAATTCTAC